TCATGTGCAGGATGCATCAGTGGCCAAGTTGAAAGATAAGAAGTACATTAAGAAGCTGTCTCTGGAATGGAGTGGTTGTACAAGCGATTCACAAATTGCTAGAGAGATTCTGGACAATCTTCAACCTCACAGAAATCTGCAAGAACTTGTCCTTGCACGGTATGGGGGTACGAGATTTCCAGATTGGCTGGGAGCTCAGTCATTACCTAATTTAGTATTTCTTTGTCTCTGCGACTGTGACTTTTGCGTTATCTTGCCACCACTTGGGCAACTACCTTCCCTCAAAGAACTCCGTATCAGACGAATGAAGAGTGTGGTTGCTGTTGGCTCTGAGTTTTATGGAAACTGTTCTGTCGGAATTCAGTCATTTCAATGTCTCGAAATTTTGGAGTTTTTGTACATGGAACAGTGGCAGGATTGGTTCTTTCCTGATGGAGAATGTGGTAGTGGTGTTTTCCCTCGTCTACGGAAGCTTTACATAATGCGTTGCGACAACCTCAAAGGTGATTTTCCTTTCTATCTTCCATTATTGAAAAAGCTTGTAATTGAAGGTTGTCGGGAGCTTGTGGCTTCACTTCAAACCACTCCAGCTATGTGTAAATTTCAAAGATTCCAGGATGAGAAGTTTCAGCTCCCAATCAGCTGCTGCTACGAATTCCTCAAGTATCTGGTAATAAGTTGGAGTTTAAAGTCATTTCCATTTGACTTGTTTCCAAACCTTAGGCATCTTGAACTTATCAGTTGTAGGAAGCTTGAATCCCTAACATTTTCGAAGAGCAGTTTCCGTGAACTTAAATCACTAGCAACAATAAGAATAGAAGAGTGCCCCAATTTTGATTCTTTTCCTGCTGGGGAATTGCCTGCTCCCAACATGAAATCTCTTACTCTTAAAAACTGCTGTAAATTGAAGTCACTGCCTGAAAGAATGCACAGCCTTCTTCCGTCTCTTGACTATTTGTGCATATTGAATTGTCCGAATATTGATTCATTTCCAGAAGGAGGCCTTCCTTTCAGTTTGACTTGGATGACAATAAATCAGTGTGACAAACTTTTTGAGCAGCGAATGAAGTGGGGTTTGCAAAGCCTCACTCATCTCACGTACTTGTCAATCGGTTCTGAAATTGAGGACCTGGAGTCATTTCCAGATGAAGGACTGCTGCCCCCCTGGCTAGAACGTCTCTATATATCCAAATTTCCAAATATGAAGAACCTTGATGGCTTGGTGCTCGGGAAGCTCACATCTCTTCAAGAATTGGAGATCAGCTCTTGCCCAAAGATTCAACGGTTGCCTGAAGTGGGGCTACCGACACCTCTTAAATCTTTAACTATACGGTATTGCCCTGAGATTCAACGGTTGCCTGAAGAGGAGCTACCCACCTCTCTTACATCTTTAACTATATGGTTTTGCCCTGAGATTCATCGGTTGCCTAAAAAGGGGCTACCTACCTCTCTTACATATTTAGAAATACAGTCTTGCCCTATTTTAGAAAAACGGTGCCAAAGAGAGGAGGGTGAAGATTGGCAAAAGATTGCTCACATACCTGAACTATGGATTGGTTCTTAATATTTTGTGTGATTATATATTTCTTTATGTTCAACATGTATTTACAAGTAGCTTTAATAAGTCACAAAGTATCTGTACGGTGGCTTATAACTTCAATGATATTATAACCATTTGGTTTTCCAGACTGGTGGGCAATCAATGATTATAGTTGAACCAACTATAAACTTGCCATTCTGCAGTTTTCCGGAAACTCAGCTGGACATCATAAACTGTTATTGTCAATCGAGTTGATTAGCTCACCTTCTTCAACCATTACTTTTTTGCTTCATGGTCGACCATGATTGAACCTGTAAAACCATAAAAATTAGCAAATTTCAGCAGGAAGTGGGCAAGATTTTTACTAGTTTCCAAATCGACAAACAAGCAACAAGTGCCATGAAGTCTTACTTAATTGCCACAACACAAGGGAGTTATTTTAAGAGGCATGTTTAACTGTCCCTCTCTGAGGGTATAGTCGGGCATCTTCAACCGCCCAAGGCCTGCAGCCACCATTCAGAGCATTCTAACACTGTCTTCACCAATAACTGAAGAAGGCAACGATGAATGGTTCTTGAGCAACTTCTAGGACCTTAACTTCAGGGCCTCAGGGCTCAACAACAATCCAAGCAGCTATATGCTGAACCAAAAACTTCCATTATCACAAAACGTAGTAAATCAAATTTCAAACAATCATTTTCTTGGCAGGCATATTGTATTAGAATAGTAATTGATGAAGAGCATGAAGTCTTGGTGTAGAGGGGTGACCAAGACGGAAGTGCCACAAATTTTGCAAATTAACAACTGAAGGTGAATCAAAAGAATTTGATTTTACGACAGAGTTTACAGTATGAAGTTTATTGGTCTGTTGCACTTCAAGAGGATACAAGCCATGTCTCTCCTTAGCTATACCAATCTTTTTTCTGGTTGTGCATATCCTGAATAGTACAACAATTACTAGTAAATGTCAAGCAATATTTGGAAGAATGCAAAAGACTACTGACTGATATGATATTGAATGAAAATTCTGGCACAAACAAAACATTATGAAGCATCAAGGATGGTGAAATATGAACATAACCAATATGGGTAACAGTGGCTGTTTGAGAGTTAGGTAGTTTTACGTAGAGATTTCCTACTGGTCTGCATAAGGCTAACAACTCAATATTATTGACTACATGATCTGTGGCCCCAGAATGAACTATCGAGTTCATTGTGGCATTAAAATGAGATGATGAGGAAAGAATAATACCTAGATCACCAAGTTTTCTGAAAATTGGTAGTCAATGTACTAACTTGAGGTGTACATACTGGATTGGCTGTGCAGGTTGAATCAGAGGGTTGGATAAGGGCTAAGATTTTTTTCGTACTGGTCTTTTGTAAGGCTCAGAGGCAATACTGCCGAAGTGTCATCCTGAGATTGACGTTTAACTTTGGAATTAGTCAGATTAGACTCTGTTGCTGCAGTTTGAGCACTACACTGATTGACAGAAGCCCTGGACTTAGGCGGACTCTCATTCGGAAGTAGACAAAAAGGATTT